ACCGTTCGCTCGCCTTCGCCAATACTATTCGCGCGCCGCGATCGCGGAATTTCTATACTCGTTCGTCCGCGGGAAAATTAGAAGCACCGAGTTGCCGTGCAGCAAATAACGATTTTCCGATCTTGTCGCGCTTAGACCGACCGCCTTTGATTTATGTATGTCTATCACAGCGACGCGTCGTTTCTTCAAGATGTAAATATTGTTCGAGCAGTTAAACACTGGTCCGGTGTTTATCGTGTGTCGCGTTCCGACTTCCGTGCTCGTTCGATCCGATAAAAGTGGTGCGATGCAACGAGGCGATTTCGTACAATATTTTCACGCGAATTTAAAATAAAACACGGTGCTGCGAAAACTGAGCGCGCTAATCTTGCAGTTGATCTCTCGAAGGAACGATAAGCGAGCCGACTTAAATGCAGTCACATTTTGTTGATCGCGCGGGAACGCGAGGCGTGATCGCTTTCCATTTTGCTGTCGAAATTTTGTAATTAGACATTCGCGTCGCCCGATGGACGGTGAAAGTTGATAAATGTTGCTGGACGACGGGGTGGTATCCACGCGCGGTGGCTGGTTATGGTAATAAAGCTGTCAAGAATTACAAGTCGCCCTGTGGAATGATGAATCCCTCGAGAGTAGGACAAACGTTTCTTTATCTTTTGTACGTCGTTCGAAAGTTTTATCCAAACAGAAATGACTGGCCGGCCGTGTTTGAGGTGAGTCACCCATGAACACCGGCGAAAACAGTTACAGCAACCTTTTGTCGCAAACTTCGTACTTTATTGAAAGGCCCCGCCATCTTTTACAGTAAATACTTACCCGCCGTTTGATGCAATTCAAAGACTCGGCCCGGGGAGCAACCGAATGGCCCCATTTTTATTGTCCACGGGCGCAGTGGTCTATAAAACCGCGTATACCTTCTGAATCAGTGGTTCGTTCGTGTCTCATTCGACATGCGAACGATATTTTGCGAAAGTAGCGCGATTTTCAGGGAGGAAAACAACGGGATACAACCGATAAAAACTTCGACAATACGCGATAACGTGGACGCTATTGCTTTCCGTGTTCCGTTTAGAGTGTACCGAAGATTTTTTCGTGAGATATACGCAGCGATTTAGTGAAAGGCACTCGTCAAAACAAACAGAAAACGCCCGACGATAGATCCGCAAAGTAATCCTCGCGATAAGGCGAAACAAAGCTGGATGTTTACTCCGAGTTTTGACTTTTACTCTCAATATCCCACTTTATACATCATAAATCACCGAAATCACTGATCCCTGATAAAACAGCCTCGCCATCGATCGCCGCCCGCGCCTGCCCCAAGACCACCCACAAGAGCACCGAAATCTTCGGCATCGGGTACGCTATGTTAATTACATGTAAATCGCGTTATTTATAAGGATAAATATTTAAAAACTTGTATCAAATGCGATGTGTTCGGTTAAGCTTCAGGAATATTAACATCGACGATTAACGGTTTAGCATTTGGTGAAAAATTGTTCAAAGACTACAGTAATCCCGCACATTATCCATCGAATTATTTAGTTCAGTATAATGTAAGAAATCCATTCGAAATCCTTGTTTAAAAGAAAATATCATAATCGAGCAGTAGCTCGAGTAGTACTACGTTTTACAGTAATAAAACACAGTTCAGTCACTGAAAAGTCTATTAATAGATTTCCGGTAAATAAAGTGTACGAAGAAGTACTTTAACCCTAGAAAGATAACCATATGACAACGTACGTAAAAGATAACCATACGCTTCAGAGGCGCATGCTTTTCTAAGGCGTCAATTTTATACTAACAATGGATATTTATTTAAGTTAATCTAGTCATTTTAAAGGTTTGGCATTATTGTAAAAATAAAATGCATTTATATTATATTTTTTTATATTTTAAGTAATTTTAAACTTAAATCACTAGACCTCTATGAAAACGGTGCAGTCAGTTGTTTATTTCGCAGGCGCCTCTGCGACGTAGGTTATCTTTCTCGGGTTAAGAAGAAATAATAAAAAAATATTATAATAAAAGAAATAGAAAGAATAACAAAAATGGCGAAACCTCTACATAAATTCAGTTTCGTCGCTCTTACTACACACGTCGGTCACCCTTAGCGCTCGGCGGATATCGCGTCAATAATAACGGTCGCCATTGATCAGTTTCACGCAGAGAAACAGGATCAATCGTGGCACGATGACCGTAAGGAAACGGATTCCAAAGTTCGCTACTTTCCGATCGAGAGTCAAGGTGGTCTAACCCCGTCGAGCCAGCCGGCGCATCCGATCGCCGGGTCAAGAGGGGGAGGCCCGGGGACTTAACAAAGCACAGTTTCGTTCCGGCTGTTCGTTTTTCTCGGCCGCGATCCCGTGGCGCATTGAAAACACGAGTGGTCGGCCGGCCGGATGAATTCTCGCTGACGATCACGACGCGCTCGTATCTCAAATCGCGATAAAGGGTTACAGGTCCGGGGAGCCGGGCGACTCGAGCGGACTGGACGCGACGGTAACGAGGAACGGGCGATTAGCATTTTATTGGCGCCGCGTCTTGCAATAGCTTTGGGCAGAGAAATAAAGGAGGAATAGGAGGGTGAGGGGGGAGGGAGGGGCGGGAGGGAGGGAGGACGTTAAACTTCATCGTCCATCGGACACGCCTTGTCGCTGCAGGTGTGCTCCGCGCCGACGTTATTTATTGCACGGGCGCTCACCGGGCCGCGTCCTGTTCTCGCAAGGGGGTGTTTCGTTATTTATACGTCGGCGCTGATTTTTGCGCGGGCCGGCACGTCGCCCGAAATGGCACCGGGTCCTCTCATCATCGACGAACCACGCACGGAGAACGCGCGACGTCTCGAGACCGTCTCGCTCCGTTTCCTCTCGGTGCTCCGATCATGGCTTCTGTGCCATTCTCGAAAGCAACGCCGCAAACCATGGTGTTCCGTGCGCGCATCTAGGTTGGATCTAATTGACAACTTATGGTCAATTGGTACTATTAATAACACGGCCAGTATTTATTCTTTCCGATGCTAGGCGGTTCAATAATCTAGACCGTTCTGCTGCCATCTCCTTCGTGTACGCATGACAGGGTTCGGTGGCTTCGCAAGATGCGTTGTAAGCAACAAGCGCGGCTGACGTGGAAATTTTCGTCGCGAATCCGTGGCGCGCTGTGTGCGCGCGTTTGGACCAACGTCGAAATAGATTGGGCCCAATTGACGACTAACGGACGATCGATGCAGTTAACGCTGGATTTACGAAACCCGTCGAAATGACGGCTCATTAATTTTGTAATTTACGATTGTTCATATTGTAAAGATACATATATGAGTTGTTTATTCAATTTATACGTTACTTGCGGCAAATGTTACAATAACACTCGTCGAAAATCAGAATACAGTAATGTCTCCCTTACTGACGCTCCGGTTGTGTACAGAAATGGACAATTTGGGAAGTGGAGATACGATTATTCGAACCTTGCGATTCGTTTTTATAGTTGTTGACAATCGATGACCATAAAAAACAAGCAACAAGACTCGATCAATCGTATCTCCTCTTCCAAAATTGTCCATTTTTGTGGACAATCTGAGCGTCAATTATATAGTGAGACATTACTATAAATATATAAATATATTAGGGGGACCGGAAAGTAATGTCGTTTCTGCGCATATTTATCTGTTTAAATTCAATGTAAACAAACGACATAACTTTCCGGTCCCCCTAATATATTGTTACTTCTATAAACTAATATAAAACAGCTGTTTGTCGTGTTCCGTAAATCTAGCGTTAACAACGCAGCAAGTATTTTTCTTTTTCAAGATTTTCTTATCAATAACCTAGATGCCGAGGTTACTGCCTGTTCCGTCGTCTAATAGACGCGTTTCACACATCGATCACGGGTCGCAGAAAAACTTCCGCTCGAACAAGTATTTGCAGCGTCTAACCGCGAAGACTGATTTCGACTCGCGCCACCATATAAATAACATACAACAAAGAGTTTCCGATGTTGGACGATTCGAGGACATCTCGCAAAGCGAGGACGTAGCGTCGCCGGGGTCGATCGGGTGGATCCTCTCGAATTTTATTAAACGTACGACCGGGTGAAACCCAAGTCAGGAATCGTGGTTCGGGTCGGCCGGTGTCCAGGATGGGTCGCTAGATACCCGATCCTGATAGGAGGTAGGCCTCTCGGAACCGGTCGTGACTGTACCTACACGAGACATCGTTAATGCCACCGTGGAACGAGCGGTCGAACGAAAATCCACGGGAAGGGTGCCTACTCTCCCTAGCAGGCTTCTGGGTCCGCACGATTTCTTCGTCTGCGAGCGCAGCGCGCCAGCAACAACAACACGGCAAGGACGCACGGGAGGGAGAGAAAGAGAGCGAGCGGGTGAGCGAGACCGAACGGGGGAAAAAAGAGGAATAAGGCGGTCACGGAACGAGGCGAAACCTCTAGGACGATAATTAGCGATCGGTGGTCCCGAGGAAGACTCGAGCCATCTCGTTATCCACGCCACGGCGCCCAGCGTGACGTCATCGCGCGTGTACAGGCTGCTGCTCCCGCGCCGCACCGCTCCGCTCCGCGCGACGCTGGAGAGGGCCGAGGCAGGCTGAGGTGGTGCGCGTCGCGTGCACACACGCGCGCCTCTAAACAGGTGTGCATGTTGGGACCGGAGCGAGCAGCTTCGGTGGGAGCGGGGGGCCCCGAAGAAAGGAAAAAGAGACCGAGCCGAGTAAAAGAGAAAGGGAGAGATACGCATCGAGTCTGACTCTCGCGCGGCCCTGCGGAGAGGGTACGCGAGAGGATCCTACGCTATGCCTCTCCTCGTACTCGTACGCTATACCCTGAAGACCGACCGACCGACCGATCGGTGGCAGCGGCGCGGCGGGAGGGGGAACGGCGGAGGGCAGAAGAGAGGGGGGCGAAGTCGGTCCCGAAGTCTGCCGAACGCGTCCGAGCCGTGGTTCCCCCATCCGGTCTCCGTACGGTCGCGGTCGGATCGCGGCGTTCGCGTTGCGTTCACGTCAGTGCGTAGTCGACCGGCGTTGGGGGTAGTTCGTGGCTCGGTTGCGCGACCCGCACGTGTATATCGAGGATCGTCGAAGCGCGATATATCTCTCAGTGGGTGAGGGGGACGCGGTGCGAGGCCTTCTGGTCGGTAGCGGGAGCAGCGTGCGCACCGAAGGAAAATATTTGGAGAAACGTGTCCGGTTGTGTCTGTCTGTCTGTCTCTACTGTGCGTCGGGAGCGGATAGCAGAGGGAAGAAGAGAGAGAGAGAGAGAGAGCGGGAGGGCAGATAAAGAGGGAAAGCAAAAGGGAGAGAGAAAGAGAAAGAGAGAGATCGCGTTCTCTCTGTGATCCGCTGGCGTGTGCAAGCATTCGACTCCTGGCCGTGACTCACGTTCGCCGTGCGTACGTTTTACGGAGCCGATTTAGCGGCGGGACCCGGACGGTGTATAAAACACGAATTCGACGAGCCCGAGCTGTCTGCTCCGGAACGGAGAGAAATTGGAGGGAGACAAAGCGCGCCGGAGCGCGGAGGCTCGAAAAGGAGCACCTACCGGTCGTCCAGGATCCGAGGCTCCTCGCTCTCTCTAAGCCTGTTCACAGGACAACGACGACGACAACGGTGTTTCGTTCCGATTTTCTTCTCATCGAGCCGATAATGGATTAATTTTCGCCGGGGAGCTTACCCCGGCGCGGCGGTCTGATCGCAACCCGGAGCGCGCACAGCAACGCGGCAGCACTCTGCGATAAATCAAGGTGAGATCCGGCTTTGTTTTCGAGAAGGGTGTACCGATAGCCGGCCTACCATTGACCAGCCTCCACCTCCTCCTCCTTCTCCTGTTACTCCTACTCTTCCTCTTCCTCGCCGAACCGTTCGTTCCTCCGCGTTCTCCTCTCCTTCCATCCTCGTCGGTCCGCGGGCCCAGCCGCCCGCGATTATCTCCGTCCCTCTACGACACGGAACGCTGCAAACGAGCATCCACGAGAGCATGCAGCATATATTTTGCGGCCTCTCGCTTCCTTCCCTTTCCATCCTTTTGCTCTTTCGCTTCTCGTCCTCCTCATCCTCCTCTTCTCTCGCGTCTCTCTCCCGCTCGATCTATCCTCTCTCTAACCCCCGACCACTCCGAGAGCCGACTCTCGTGCATAGGGACCAACGAGAAACACATGCACGCGAAGGCTCGAGCCACCCCGCTGACGCCGCGCGCACACGCTCTCTTTCCTCTTCTCTCCTCTCCTCTCCGTTCCTTTCCTTGCCTTTCGTATCGTTCCTTTACTTTGGCTTTGGCTCCACGTTGCTTCGTCCGCATTCTGAATGCATTCTGAATGCCGAACGACGGACCGAGCGTCTTCCAATTCCCCTCCCAGGCGGACCGTGGCCCGCCGAATGCTCTCTCTCTCTCTCTCTCTCTCTCTCTCTCTCTCTCTCTCTCTCTCTCTCTCTC